TTTAAATAATTGAAACGAAGAAACAATTAGGCTTTTTCTTTTGTTGAGAAAAAGAGAGTAGAAAAGGAAAAAAGAGGCTCTGCTTTGAAGAATGTGGAATGGCCAAACAATGAAAGGGGTGTTAATTTATATAGAGAAAATTGATGGGCTGTGTGTGTGTGTGTATGTAATTTTGGGAAAAAAGGACTTTAATTTTCGTGTTGTGCGCGCGTGTGGGTTTTTGGAGGGATGAGATAATGATGAGGATGGCCAGGTGGGGACTGCACACCCACATTTGCTTATCTCATCTTATTATTATTAATTATTAATTTGAACTTTAAACTATGTCATTATTGATCTTGGTAAAGTGAGAATATTATAAAAAAGAAAAAATTGAAAGGAAATGAAAGTTACCACTCACTAGCCAAAATGAACCTAAAAAAATTAAATTAGGATAAGAGGTGTTCACTTTCGTTTAATTAATTTTGAAATAAACATAGGAAGGATTAAGAATTATTTTAATATAAGGTAATGTGATAAAACTTTTGAAAGGAAAAATGAAAAAAAAAATGTATCTTAACATGGACAAATCATTAATGTTACACGGAATCAATTTTTTATGAGACCCGTTATGTATATGTGTCTCAGTAAATTCCTGGTAAAACTTTTTTGTTTCGTTGCAAATTTATCCTTGAATCTGTTGATTTTAAAAATTTTCCGCCAATATTCAGATTTTTAGTAAAAATTAACCAAGTTTGAATAGAGTAATCATATGGTGTGGGGGCATGCAAATGCTGAGATATACACAACACAAATCTTTGAAAATCTTCTATCGAATGGCTCACATACTTCTAGCACAAGAAATTGACATTCATATCCAAGATTTTGAGCTGATGTTTATGATTGGAACAGACAAATTAAACTCTTCCAAAATGCAAACCACTAGAATTAGTGGAGCCAGCAAACTATATTTGTACTCGTCGAAAATACAACTAAATAGGTTGGCCTGTGGACCTGTGATATTAGGGCCACTTAATAAATTAATTTAACTGGTCAATCTTGAATTATTGAAACTTTCAGTTATCTATACTTATATAATAAGAATTAACATTTATCCAAAATAGTAGGTCAAATTATGGTCAATGTCGGATTTGCATTAAATATTTTCCAAAACCGGTAAGTTTTTGTTCTTTTCACACTTCTCATTAATTATGTCCTTTTCACACTTCTCATTAATTATGTCCTTTTCACGCATCTAATTAATTCATTAATTACGACATAATTATCATAAATCATTCCATCTGAGCTTTTATCGTTAAAATGTATAGCGATCTGTTATGACCTTATCCCATTGATATTTCCATGAAGCGTCCTTATCGCGTTTTATTTTTTGGTAACCACTTTATATCAATAATCGGATATTTGATTAATGATAACACACGTCTTTATTTCAAGGTGCGGATACTCTTTGACCTTTAATTAATCTGAACTGATTGTCTTGACTTTTCAATTTCTAAAAACTCTTTTTTTAAATATTTCGGCTTAAGATTCGGATTTCATTATACTAGTCATCGGATTGTTTGAATGAAAATGAATGAAAAGAACACAAAAAACAGGTAGCCTTATTCATATAACCAATCCTAAAATATTAGTTTGTTCACCAAAAAGAGACATATCCTAGAAATCCTAAAATATTAGTTTGTTCACCAATTCTAAAATATTAGTTTGATTTTTAGGATTTGTCTCTTTTGAAAATATTAGTTTGTGATAATGAGGAGTTACCAAATAATCAAACTCATAATATTGTGTACAGGGAGGTTTTTAATAATAGATGATTGTTATCGAACCTTTTATGATTCAACAATGTTCCTATGTATTTTAATGATTTCACTTTCGATCATAATGCACGTGAGGTTATATTATTTTTTCAAATTTTACATCTCGTGCATCGCACGGGTTACGTACTAGTAAAACAAAAAATAGGAGCAAGGCAAGTTTTTGTAGTGTATGTAGCTGATAAATTAAACGAGTTTGGCTCGGCTCGGTTCGTTAATACTCAAGTTTGCCTTAAACTCGAGATCTCAACGAGCCGAGCTCGAGTTCATTTAAAACTTGTTCGGTTAACGAACCGAGTTCGGCTCGAAAAAAATTATTTTTATATAATTTGTTATAGTTCGGTTCATTAAGGTTCGAGATAAGCTCGTTAATAGTGGTAAACGAGCCGAACTCGAGCTCAACTGCTCGCTCGTTTATTTAACGAACTAAACTCGACTTGGCTCGTTAAGGGCTCGAGCACGAGCACTTCAAGCTCAAACTTGGCTCGGTTCCTTTACTGGTCTAAGTGCATATAACATCACTTGCAGCATGTAATACGACTCTATTTCAAATATGTTTGAAAATTTTCTCTAGTGCTATAATATTTTAGCACTACTTTGAAAATGTTAAAATTATCGAGCTATAGTTTTTCTCAATTTTTTTTAGTTGATATTTTTTTTGTATATTATTAATTTTGACGAAGTATGCATAAATAAAGTTATTTATTTCGTTAAATAATGTTAAATTTTGATTTTCTAATTGTACATACATTTTATTTTATACTAATGTATTTCACGTGGAGTAAAATGTAATTGTAACGGGAGAAACTGAAGAAAAAAATGATGGAAGTTTGGCATTCTCTACTTTAGAGTAGATCAAGATATTGGTTAAAAATGATTTTATAGTTCAATTGTCTATGTACTATCTTTTTTTATGGTAAAAATATAGTTCAATTATGTATGTACTATTTTTTTTATGGTAATTGTGGTTGTTTGTGTTACTTTTTGTTTCTGAATATTGGAAAAAGAAAAAGGAAAAAGGTATATAAATTTCACTCTGCTTTATAGTTTCTTAGTAAGGTATACGGAAAATGACGTGGAAAACAAAAGTAAAAAAAAAAAGGTAAAATTAATGGAAGTCCTTTTTATTATTATTATTATTATTATTATTATTATTATTTTTAAATTAATGGAAGTCATAGCCCAACTTTTTTGCATGTTGAAAGAGGAAAGTATAAAGAATTTACTTCATATTTTTGTACAAAAAAGGCATGATTCTTACAAGAGTACCCAAAGCTATGTTTTTAAACAAAATATGAGAAGATAAAATTGAGACCACGTGCGAGGGTAAAATACATTACATTCCATATTTCAGTATATCCAATGCATAAATGTTGTTATCATATAAATTTTAACAAATATCAATTATTTAGATGAATTGTGAACCACATAAGATATCTGTTAAGTTCACAACTTTAAATCTAAAAAATTATCTACAATGCACAATATGATCAAACATAATATTGTCCGCTTGATAAAAATAAAAAAATTATAAATAAGAAACAAAAAAATTAAATAATCTAGATATTTTGAAAATGGTAATAATATTTATTTCTCATCTCTCAATTGGTTGATTGGAATGTGAAAGAGAATGTGGATGAACCACATTTTTCTCTACATTGTAAATATTAATTATGTCCACCTTATCACTACATTTGTGATTACATTGTGCATTGTAGAATTAAAAGTGGAGACATTGTCAAATTTGTTAATATAAAGTGTAATTACTACGACTACATTTCACCAAAAATCATTTATCACTAGTTCACTACTACTCAAGTGGGAGCATATTTGCTTGAAAAGGCTTCAAAATAGAAATAAAAAAATATGAGATCTATATAAAAATATTAGTACATACTAAAATTANATTAATTTAATTATTAGCAAACACGTTCCGAATAAAAAAATCTGGTGAAGCAAGAGTCACCAAATTCGCTATTTATTTCTTTACGTATGTAAAACATTTTTTAAAAATAAATATATTAAAGTCAACTTTTGATATATTTTTTTGTCATTGTAAATCAATCGCATTTGAGAAAAGAATATATACTAAAGTCATCTTTTGTGGTGGTAAATAACTCGCATTCATTAAAAATAAATATATTAATGTTTCATTTCAATTAAACAAAATAATTCAAATATTGGAAAATAATTATTGTCCAAATCCGTTTGCAGACTGTTCTTTTCGTGTTTCAATAATTGCATGATTTAGAGTCAGATAATGTGTTTATATACACTTATAATATTTTATAATATTTTAGATACTTTTAAACATATGGTTTAGACAATTTTTTTACACATTCTATCTATATATACATACACACACACACACACACATATATATATATAGAGAGTTGAGTTCACATTAGAATGGTTCTCAATGAAAGAAATGAGAGTAAATCTCTATCATAAGATTGAATGATCCAACAACTTAAAAAAAAAGCTAAAAATCATATTTTCATTAAGGGTATTATGGTATTTTTTCCACACCATATTTAAAAAAGTGGGATCCACTCCACATTAATCTATATATATAATAAGAATTATCGTTTACCAAAAATAGTAGCAAAAAATAGGTTAGAATTTAATGCAGTCTATAAATAGTAAGTTTTATTATTTTTCTTATTTTTTTTTAACCATACACAATTAAATGCAACCTTAAATTTCAGGCTTTAGTTTATTTTATTATTAAAAAAGTTCGGCTAAGTTTTATTAAATGTGTATGTTTTTATTTTTATTTTTTTCTTATAAACAACGAACAATATTAAAATCTCGGTCTTTATATTTATAAAATCTCAATTCAAATTACAACAAAAGTTTCAGAATCTCGATCTTTATATTTGTACCCTTAAAAAAATATTGAACGCTAAAATATTCTTTAAAATTGCATAATCAATCTTAATTTTTTGAAAATTACTATGTTTACTTTTTATTAATATGCATATAGTAAAAATAATTAATTCATCTTTAGATATATAATTTGTAGTCTTAATATACTATCATTTGGTAGACATTTATTATATGAATCATAAAATATTTTTAATTCATAACATTAAATATATTTAAAGAAAATAAGAAAATTTCTTTGAATCAATCGGGTGATTGAATTAGGGTACTGCCCAGGTTGATTGAATTACTTTT